GGCTAAATCACATCATACACACGCTTATAATTATAAAGAAATAAAGAAAAGAACATATTCAAATATGAGCTTTATTGTTAAATATGATTGCCGTTATTATTACATTTCATTTTATGATTGAATGATTTATGCGCGGCTGTTCACGGAAAAGTGAGCAAGACACGACAGTTACAATATCATGATTATGGTTAAATAAGATAAAAGACATATAACCAAATTAGGCTACAATTATTTTCATATTAAATATCTCAACACACATCATTGGATATGGCATTAAGCGCAACTTGTATAGATTCATTTAGTAAAAAAGGCTTGACTGCTTTCTTTGGCGTATATTTGTATACTTTTACTATCTGATCAATCTCAGCATGCGTTCATTTTGTGTCGCTAGACGTTTGCCTCACTAAGGTTAAATTATGCCTACGTCTTTCTTTGGCCTGCGCTCTGGAAGTGATCTGTTAATTCTGCTAAACTTGAATTAAAACTGAAACTAAACTATATAAAAACTAAATAGAAATGTGTTCACAAAATAAAAACTAAAACTAACAAACATATTAATGAAACTAATAAAAACTAAACTGAATTTTATAGCAAATTTGAAAACGATATTAAAATAAAATGAATTTAAAAATTCTAAACTATAATAACCTTGGTCTGGCTATCCTCTTATTCTTTCTCAGCCTTATGTAGCGGGCGAATTTGTCCAAAACTTTGAAGGGATCATTTCTCACATACTCACTTGATTGCTGTACAACAATGTAGGTTAGTCCTCTTTATATCAAAAAAGGAAATTCGTATAATAATTGTATACTCTAAAGGCACTGCTGGCTATGCTTCCAAATTACTAGTCCACACACAAACACCTATGAATATTTAAAAATAGGGATGCACCGAAATGAAAATACGTGGCCAAAGCTGAAGCCGAATATAACGAAACACTTGGCCGAAAGCCGAATACCGAACACGATTGGTCACATTTTTCATTTATTTTGCCAGTTTTTTTCCACCATTGCATAAATTAAATAGTCAAAATGTGCTTTTTGTCTTGCTTTTCAAAGAAAAAAAACAACAATTTAAAAATATTTAACATGTTTTAAACATTCCAGCAGACGTTACTCCAACAAAGCACAATATAACATAAAATAAATGAATTAAAATGAGTAAAATACAAATATTTTTACTTGGCCATCTTTGAGCCCCCCGTCTTGAATAGCCTATATTATGCTCATAACTGACTGCTGAAAGAATGTAACATACTCTGTATGTATGAATGAATGATGCATTTATATAGCGCTTTATTGTGTATTGCTGTACACCCAAAGCACTTTACAATCATGAGGGGGTCTCTCCTCAACCACCACCACGACGGCAGCCACAGTACAACAGCGCCAGTGCGAAAGAGTGCAAAAAAGTGGATGAACCCACAAAATATTTGTCCTAGACATAAGCCTGCTTATGGCCGTGAGAACTAGGGGTGCTGCAGCACCCCCTGCTGACAGCTGTTTTACTGCACTGGAATTTAAAATGACACAGCTTGAATTTTGTTTTCTGTTTCTAATTTTCCACACTTGTTCATGAAATGACTCTAAAGAGTATTTAGTTTTTATATGTTGTTGAATGTGGTTTGTGACTTCTGGATCACAGATGGATCTTTAGAATGACACTTAAAAATGTTTCCACATTGCCGACATGTTTTCTGCATTTTTAAGTGTGCGCGCCTCTCACTCTGCGCTGGTTGCTATTTGATCGCGTGATTAAAAACGTGATTGTTCGGTAAAATGTATGCAGTCTTTTCACTTATTCGGCCGAACACCGAAAGTGCTTTTTTTGCTATTTTCGGACGAATAATTTCAGTTGCCGAACATTCGGTGCATCCCTATTTAATAATGACGTAGCTGTTTTGATATGCCTTTTTGTGTTCAGATGCCTGTGATATGACACTGGATCCAAACACAGTGCACACTCAACTCATCCTTTCTGAAGGGAACAGAAAAATAACATGTGTGAAAGAGCATCAGCCGTATCCTGATCATTCAGAGAGATTTGAGCGCTTTGAGCAGATTCTGTGTAGAGAGAGTCTGACTGGACGCTGTTACTGGGAGGCTGAATGGAGCGGCTCGGGTCATGTAGCAGTGGCATATAAAGGAATCAACAGGAAGGGAGGAATTGATTGTTGGTTTGGACTCAATGAAAAGTCCTGGAATATTTACTGTTGTGATATGATTTACACTGTCTGGCACAATAATAAGAGCACAGATATTCCTCGCTCTTCATCCTCTCATAGAGTAGGAGTGTATCTGGACTGGTCGGCCGGCACGCTGTCCTTCTACAGCATCTCTGACACACACACACTCACACACTTACACACATTCAACACCACATTCACTGAACCCCTCTATGCTGGGTTTAAGGTTTATTCTGATTCTTCAGTGTTTCTATGTCAGATTTAACAATATATTTCTTAACCCTTTGACGCGTACGATCACACCGGTGTGATTAGAACGTTCAGTGCGTCACGTGATCAACTGCCGAACTCAAATCTGCTTTGGCTGGCGCTGAGCACTTGCCATATTATCACAAATATTCAGTGTTTTCAACCATTTAATGCTTATTTTAGGTTTCAGACATTTAAACACACATACTAGCAAAACCATAGATTTATAGTTTGTAAAATACGTGCTGATTTCTATGGAAATGGCAATAATGATCATGTTTTTATTGAAATCATATACAGATTGTGTAGGTAACTATAAAGTTTACTCTGCTCTTCTCCCAGTTTACCGGAGACCTACTTTACTCACGCTGGGGGCTCTGCTAGAATATTTTAAACTCATGTGTGAAAGGGTTCGTATATGAATTTTCAATATATTAAAGGGGTCATATGACGCTGCTAAAAAGTACTTTATTTGGTGTAATGCAATGTATTTACGTGGTTTAACGTTCAAAAAACGCATTATTTTCCACATACCACTGAAGGATCCTTGTGTTTTTGTTTTTATGTTTTTTTTTTATTCATTTAGAATCATTTATTCGCATAATCATTTTATAATCATTAGTCATTCATATGATTTATTATATTATTTATCATTATATTAAGTATATATATTGTTTATTCATTTATTATGTTTTATATTTTTTTATTAATTTCCCCTAGCTTATGCATTTTCATTGTTGTTCAATCTCATGCTTGTGGGGTTTCATGAACTGTTTTGTCTGTATGAATAGAGATAGATAAGGGGGAATGTTTATGGGATGATGTTGTGAAGCAGTTTTGGTATAACAGTACATGTTGAATTTGTGCTGGTCAGACGAAGTTTGAACATTGAGACATACGCAACTTTGATTGATTGTTCAATAAACTCTGTTACTTTTTACCATCATCACTTTGTCTCCTGCTTCTGCTTTCCTCGGTCAACTTCTTGACTGTCAGAAGACTGTTAAACACTCGTTTTGGGTATTTTTGGATACCAGACAAGACTAGCTGTTGACAGGGTTTGGGTATTAACAGCGCTGCTGACCAGCTGTTCTGTTACTGGACAAACTTATATTTTCTGACGGGATCTGGCGTCCGGGCTTGGATCCTAAATATTAATATATATATATATAAATATTATCTGGCATGGAGACCCAATCTAACACCGTACATTGTTGTTGCTCCTCTATGTCCCGCCTTTCTGAAATACATTGATTTTTACAAAGCTCATCAGTCTGAAAAGCGAGGTGTGTTCTGATTGGCCAGCTATCCAGTGCATTGTGATTGGCCGAATACCTCAAGCGTGAGACGGAAATGTTACGCCCATCACCAGGTTCAGGAAACATTCCTCCGTAAAATGCATGGATAAAATGCATTGCACACATCTGAATATTTGGGTTGAAGTGTTCTGGAACAGTGTTGTAAATGCAACTTAACTACTGATTTCTAGTCGTGTCCTCTTTTGGAAGAACAAACAAAGTAGTTTCACTTTCACAACGAAACACACAGCGTCTTCACGACATGGCGGTGGCAGCAACAATACTACAGCGAGAATAAAAGTTACGCCTTCTTTCTTTGCGTGAACATTTGGGCGGTGTTATGCAAATCTTCCCACATAGTGATGTAGACATGTGGGGGCGTGTTCAGATGAGGCATTTTAGGAAGGCGTGGACGAGTCCACGAGTGGGATAGTTCACCCAAAAATGAAAATGTGATGTTTATCTGCTTA